TAAATTGAAACTGCAGGTTAGACGAAAGACGAAAAATGATCAAAGCCAAAAAGCCAACTTATCACACCGGCTGTCTTGCAGCGGCCGTTGCCGAACTCGACATGGAGATCGCTCGCATGAGAGCCCATCTCGAGTCGATATCCAAAAGCAATCGAATCATCAGACATCAGAAAGAAACAAGTCCAAGCCAACCGGAGGATGAACGTCATGGCGAGGTCGTCGCGCACTCCGACAGATTTTCATGTGACCGTTATCTTTCCGTCGGACCGCACGAGTCGTCTGAAGTTTCGTAGCTGATCGTGCAAAGTCTCCATCGAGGCGACGTCGATATCTTCGGAGAACGCGACCCGATCGTTTTCCAGCAGCATCTGAGAGAGGTGCACTAGATTGCCCTTGTCCATCGTCCATAGTCCGACGCACCTGGCGCCGTCCTGTCTCGTCTCCTTTTCGAACGAGACGTCGACGGACGTGCCGGCGAACCGATCCGTCACCTGCTTTGCCATCATCGCAGCGTGGGCGTGCGAAGTGTTCCGTACGACGTACACGCGAACGGGCCAGCTGATCAGCGTTCGGTACGTGGACAGGACGTCGTTCACGGTGTCGACGACGAGGTCTGCGTGCACGTCCAACAAGGAATTCATACGGTCGACTGTGGCGACCACGTGCTTCAGAGCTAGAATCTGCGAAAGAGACAAGAAAACGGTGTTAATAAAAACGGAGCAACTTCTCTGGTTTCTAACTAATTCGAGTTAAAACATGTTGAGGAGAGCTTTCCATCCTGTGGATTGCGACATTGATTTCTTGCGAGAACGCAAAGACCTCTTCGTCCGATGGAAGAGGGAGACCGACGCCAAGGCGGTAACGGCCGAGATAAACGCATCGGGTTTGTCGCACGGCGAGCACGTTACGAGAACCTACGGCAGAGAAAACGTTATGGACGCGAACGCAACCGTGGAGGACATGACGGAATTCAGAGCGAGCAGATCGGTTCTGATTCACACCCTGACCGCCGTCGGGGCCGCCACCTCACCGGAAATCGGTCGGCTCGAGGAGATCGCCAACCTGGAAAAGACGGTGCTCATGTCGTTCGAGCTTGCCAACCTCGTGTACGTGCCTGGCGTGGAAACCGAGTACAGGAATTCGGAACCGGAGGAAAGACACTGGATAATAGATAGCGCGAAGAACCTCGCGAACCCTGTCTCTTATACACATCTAGATGTGTATAAGAGACAGGGACACGTCCGACGGCGTGTGATCCACGGCGATCAGCAGACCGGATCCGAATCCGGATCTCCTGCCGGATCTCCGTTCTTCGTCGAACAGCCGGGAGAGCAACCTTCCTGAGAAAAGACGTTCTGCGAGCGACTAAGGCGAGCAGACGGGAATGCCTATGTATTCCAGCTCGTAGCTTCCGCTCGCAATCAGATTCATCATCTGCTGCACCACGTTCCCCTCGCTATCGTCTATGTGTTCCGGCACCAGGTGCCTCCAGTGGGGACACACATTGCGGACACCTCTCTCGAAGCAGGCATCGCACAGGTACGATTGTGTGATGTACTTTACGAGAGGTCGTCCCTCGTGTTTGATCGTCACCAGTTCCTGGGACCAGTGCTCGCTAGAGGTCATCGACGACGTGAGCAGAACCGACACGTTCTTCGGTTGAAACAAGGGCAAGGTGGATATCATCGCCGCTTGCTTCAACCAAGGGTATTCGTCCATCCATCCAAGGTCGTATCCGGTTCCTCTGGAAGCCTGAAAACATATAAAAAAAGGAATTTAGAGAAATAATGCGAAAGATGGCTGCGGCAGCGCTCAACGCGTACGTGACAGCGAAACGTTACAACATCTACCACTTCGACGAACTTCACGAATGCGTCCCGAATGCGTGCGGATTCGCGGAACCGCTGCAGGACGGTACACACTTCGTATGCGAAAATTCTCTCCGGGTCCACGTCTGCGCGGCCGACGAACGAATTTGCGCGATCCAACATCTGAACCACAACGTCAGAAGATGTTTGTTTACCGGCAAGGAGTTCTACCTGAACGATTATGAACCGAAAGTTGTGGGACGCGACCTGCCGCTGTTCGTGGGACAGAGACGAGACGCCTCCAGGACACGGAGTAGGTACGGCGCCATGGCACGTTTTGCGGACGCGGTTGACAGGGTGTTGAGAAATCTCACGAACCGAGAAAAGCGACGTGAGTACAACCGCGCGTTCTTCGTGAAGAGGGGACGGGACATCGTCGTGAGAAAGTTGGAGAGGGAGACAAAGTTTATGCAAGCTCTGAGGGAATCGTTTCTGGTGCACGTCTCTTCCGAAAGGTTACCGGACGAGGGTGCTGCGATCGACGAATCGTTTCTGGATGACGTCAAGCAGTTCGTGTGCGACCTGATGACGATTCTGCTCTGCTATTCCGAACAAGACTGAATCGAAGAAGCATTTCTTGCTATCGAACTCGGACGAAAGTACTTTGTACCTGCTCAAGAGTACCGTGTACGGCGTTCGCTTCGAGAACTCCGTCGTGCTACTGCCTAGGTTCCATCGGCTGAGACCACTTCCCGGAGACCAGCTGCTGCCTCAGATATTCGAGGTGAGCACGTCCCGTCTGACGGAATGTTCGAGTCTGCTGCAACGGATGATGGGCGAGAAGGTGTGCAGGTTCGGATAAAACAATTAAATCGTTAAAAACTTTAACTTTTCGTCTCTGTTTCTTTCTTTTTGTCAAATTGTCATACGTGTGCATGCGCGAAGATGCTGCTGCAGCTGCGGCTGCGGAGGCGGCGGCGGCGGCCTCGTCCTCCGATATTCCCCGTGGCGCCGGAATAACCGAATCAGGTTCCGTTTTCTTGGACGATCTTCTAACCGTTTCCGGTTCCACGTACCAAGAGGTGAGGCGAATGCGTTTGCTAGCCTACGAACACTAAGACATCTTGGGTTGCCCGGCCAAACGCAGGTTGTCATTAATGACAAGGACGAGCCGCAAAATCGTCGGTGTTGTTAAAAAAAAAACAATAAAACAAACTGTAATGGCAACTAGAGTTCCCGGTCTCGCCGGCACTTCTACCTAGACAGCCGACGAACGATCGGCGAGATCCTGAGAGAAGAAGAGAAAGGCGCCGACGGAAAAGGCGAACGCCAAGCAATCTCGCATGGACGACAATTACGAGAGGCGCGTTCACGCGCAGCTGGCCGACCCCGAACTCACTCCTACGGGGTTGATGCGCATGGTTTCCACGTCGTACAGGTCCGGATACGCACCGTCGGGTTCGATGATGGGTCTGTCCCCTCAGCTGGTGCGCGTAAACGGATTCGAACGTCGATTCGTCGACGCCTTCGTCTCCGGAACCGTGTGCGGCGACATGGAGACCGACCAAGGGAACCCGGACGGCGCGTGCGATCTCAAAGGTTTGTTTGAATGCCTGTGCAGTCTGCTCTCTCTGCTGGCGAAGATTCTCGAGACGAGTACAGCGAGATAAAAGAGAGCGTGAGAACCATGTGCGACTGTCTGTTTCTCGGCGGTAGCTTTCTGAACTCGAAGAAAGAGAGAAAGCTCTTCACCTTCATGGAAGGCAAGCTGATACAGAACAAGATCGCGTACGCGCGCGATCTCAAGAAGATGAAAGCCGTGCCCGGCATCGAGTCGCCCTCTCCTTACATTGGCGATACCAAGTCATACATGCAATTCGGCAAATACTATCCGGACACGAGGTTGACGCTGTTGAAGCTGTTCACGAGTTCACGCGACAACGACTCGACGCGAAAATTGATGTTGAAGAAGGATACCGGTCTCGACGACGAAGACTTCGAGAAGCTCGTACGTGCGTGCTTTTTCGTGAAGAACGTCGAGATCGGAACCACGTACCGGCTGTTGCGGTACGTGGCCGAGGTACGTGGCCGATATCGAATTTAGGAGTCCGGCGTTGCATCTCGTCTTGACCTGTCTCAGTACGGGCGCGTCGTGCACCACCTCGCCGCCGAGGACCTCCCTCTGAGACCATGCACGTGGACTCTCCTCTTCGGACGCAGCAAGGAGATCGTCGAACAATGGAGCGATGAAAGGATCGAAGCCGAGATAGTCAACGCCGAACGAGTTTGGGAGGACAATCTGCTCGTCGCGGGATCCGTCGTTTCTTACTTGCAAGAACGCGATTTCCTCAAAGACAGATTGAGAGACGACAATCTCGTAAGGAGCGCCGTTGACGAACTGGAGGAATTCCGGTCGCAACTGCCACCTTTCGGGACTCCGACGGCAGACGACCCACCGAGACTGGACTACTGTCAGTACGAAGCGAACGTCTCGGCAATCTTGCTGAACGTCCTCTGCAAGTTCCCTTCCACACGTATGATGGGTGCGTCGATAGCGTTGGACACGCCGACTAAAAGCGTGGAAGCGGCCGAGAGATGTCAGTACGATCTTTCGGAAGCCAGCTATCGAAACCTGCTTCGGTTAGAAGAGAGGGTTCCAAGCCGGTCGCGTCCAGACGAGCGTCCGTCGACGTCCGATGATCGAGGAGATTCCGGCGCTACCGACGAGCTCTTCGACGCTTTGGAACGGTACGACGACGGAGAAGAAGAGAATGCCTTTGTCACGCCACCGACGACTACGGAGGAGTTGGATGCCGCGACGTTACCCGCGGAGCGTGCACCGCAGCAACGGGAGCAACAGTGTGCGGAATCGTGTTGGATTCCGAAGCCCTCGGCGACATTTCCGTGATCACTGAACCTGAGGAAACGACGGGAACTGGAAGGAGAGTGGGCGACCGCGAAGGCCCTCCATCCAATCTCCCGTACGACTTCAATTCGCTGGACTATCGCGAAATGGAAGAAACAATCGAAAGAGAAACCGCCAACGACGAGAACCTGTCTCTTATACACATCTAGATGTGTATAAGAGACAGGCGAGAAGGTGTGCAGGTTTCGGATGAAACAATTAAATCGTTAAAAACTTTAACTTTTCGTCTCTGTTTCTTTCTTTTTGTCAAATTGTCATTCGTGTGCATGCGCGAAGATGCTGCTGCTGCAGTAGCTGCTGCGAAGGCGGCGACGACGACGTCGTTGTCCTCCGATATTCTGCGTGGCGCCGGAACAACCGAATCAGGTTCCGTTTTCTTGCAGAAATTAAAAGACGAAATACACGAGGCGAAGATGTCCGCGTTGAAAGAATCGTCCGACGTTCGCAGCATCGCGGAGGAAGAGGTCGAACGTCTCAAGACAGAACTCGCTTCAAAGACGGATGCCCTGAAGGAAAGGGATCTAGACGTGGTTCGCTTGGAATCGGATGTGAAAGCCGCGAGAAAGTCGAAGCAGCCGCCACAGGAAGAGAGCGGCGGTGAGCTGCAGCAAAAGCTGCAGGAAGCTGTCCGCAAACTGAAAGACCGAGAGAGATCGCACGCCGACATGGAAGAGGAGTTGGAAGAGAAAGTCGACAAAATCAGCGTGCTGAAGAAAGAGTCGACGCTCGCCAAGACAGCGGTGTCCATGTACGAAAAGCGGGTGGACGTCTTGGAAGAAAACCTGAAAACGGCTTGCAAGCGATACGACGAGGAAGTGAAAAGCAGACGGATTGTGGAGGCGGCCGCGAAAAAGGCAGACGAGCA